GGGGGGGGCACATTCAACTGTACTAGGAAGATCTTGTTAGTTTGTGAGTGTTTGAGCGCTAGTTTGTGAGTGTTTGAGCACATGTAATCCACAGCTTGCATTGTATTCTTCGCGGGAAGCGGAGAATATTTCTAGATGTTCTCTAGTCTGCTGGGGTAATGATGGTGTTAAAGCACACAGAGCTTGCTGTGGAGCGGGGATATACGCTGTGTAAATGCTGTTATTATTTTTATAAATATTTTTCTAGGGTCTGCTGGGACAGTAATGTAGATTGTGAAGTGCAGATATAGAGCTTGCTGTGGAGTGGGAAAATTCGCATACAAATAATGCTATTTATTATTATTTACTGTTTTATTTGGGAAAAGTAATAACGGATGCCAGAGCTTTTCTCGCTTTTGAGTGGGATTTTGATAAGTTGTTTTTCCACCACCCAGCTCTTCTAATGTCATTTGGAACTTACTACTTGTACCCAGGTGAAAATGTTGCTACTTGTACCCAGGTGAAAATGTTGCTACCTGTACCCAGGTGAAAATGTTGCTACCTGTACCCAGGTGAAAATGTTGCTACCAGTACCCAGGTGAAAATGTTGCTACCTGTACCCAGGTGAAAATGTTGCTACCTGTACCCAGGTGAAAATGTTGCTACTTGTACCCAGGTGAAAATGTTGCTACTTGTACCCAGGTGAAAATGTTACTACTTGTACCCAGGTGAAAATGTTCCTACCTGTACCCAGGTGAAAATGTTGCTACTTGTACCTAGGTGAAAATGTTGCTACTTGTACATCGCAACTGACAGTCTTCCTCTTCTTCCTCCACCTCCTTCTTTATTCTTCATCGTGTCATTTACAACTTCTTCCTTTCCTTCATGTTGTAAATGAAAGAATTTCTTCTGCTATGCTGGACAGTGGAGCTGTGGCCAATAACGTGGTTCTGTTTTTCTGTTTTTGCTGTCAGGGTCAGTGGGACAGGAGAAGAGGACGGGACTATTGAGAGGATGATCCAATAATGGTGGTAAGTTTTCACATTGTTCTCTTGTGTTTCTCTACTTCGTTTTGGTCATTAGTTACTTTGGTTGTTTAAAAACAATTGTCTGGCACTCTTCTAAACCCTCCCAATGCTCTACCGGACGTGTAATCATGAGATTCTGTCTGGGTGCGGGGGTTCGAGCCTCAGCTTGGTCTGATATTGTGTTCTTGGGAAAGGCACTTTATACGCACCCTCTGGGGCAGTGCCACTGACTGTAGTGTCTTTAGGCCATTCCCAAAAGGGGGACATTTCTCGTTCAAGCACAATAGAATT